TTAAAACCAGGGGAGAGCTACCAGTTATACTGCCTATTTCATATTTCTCGACAGTAGGAGCAATGAAGCTGCAGACAACAGATGTCAGTCCAAAACTAAAATGTATTCTTGGTATTGTCACAGATAGAGGCAGACAATTAGTTGCTGCTCCTTCCTGTAGTGTTTGTTGGTCATTTTTTGTAACATTTGCACACATTTGATGCTATCAGTATTTGCAGCATAATTCAGTATAAGAGTTGCTGGAATTTTCCTTTAGCTGCATTGAGTGCTTGTGTGTATCTACTTATTAACAAACTAATGAGGCTGCAAAAAAGCGGAAGGAAGTTGTAGTACTTTTAGTGATTAATTCGCACAGAGTGAGTCACTCGCAGAGAGTGATTTGTTTGCAGTGAGTGATTAGCTCGCAGAGTGATTCGTGAGTGCAATATGAACGAATCTTTCATATGACTCCTGAGTCGAGTCATATGAAAGATTCGTTCAAATTGAACGTATAACTCGCGAAGGACACACATGATCACTGCACGCTAGTGTCAGTGCAGGTGTTGATGAAGCTGTCAGTGACCTGGTGTCGTGCAGGACGCTCGTGATTGGATAACGAGGCACATCCGTGCCATTTAAAAGCAGAAGGAAGTTGTAATACAGCCCTGTGATAGTTGCAAAATGGCACTGTGTGAAGGCACAGAGGAAAAAGTTTGCTATTATTACGACGGTACGTATTTCTATCTTTGATTCTCTTCACTTTGGCCTTCAGGTGTAGCCGCAGACCTACATCGCTATCAACTGGGCCGGTGGACTCAGTGATGCCAAGAAGTTCAAAGCATCTGGTTTCTGTTACATGAATGACATCCTGCTGGCCATTTTTGAGTTGCTTAAGTAAGAAAAGAAACATTTCAAGTTTTTTTTTTTTGTCAACAGAAGTGAAACTTTTGGACAGCGTTTACAGAGTGTTGTGAAATGTTTACAGGACATCGGGGCTGGAAAGAGCAATGACTACACAGTGAATTACCCACGATGCCATCTTTAAACAGGTAAGTCTGTGAGTTTCTATTTTATTTTTTAAATGTGCGACTTAGGTTTAGATCATGGCCAAAGTAATGGAGATGTAGCAGCTGAGCGCAGAGGTGCTTCAGTTCAACGTCACTATAAAAGTTTTGAAAAAGAAATTGATTTTAGCCTTTACCAGGTATTGACAAAGGAGTGAGTGACACCAACTGGACAAATCCAGTACAGAAAAGATTACAGTATTTGAAGTGTACAAAATTTATTTATTTATAATTGAAGCGTTTTGTAACATGCTAGTGCTAAACACTTTGAACATGGTGTAGTCATCAGAGAGCATTTGTATGTAATGTATTTATTTCACCTTGTGTTTCAGGCCTAAAGATGTTTCATGAAGTTGTTCCACACCTGATGATGGGACCGTTGTTGAATCCTGTGAGCACACGTGGTGGTGAGTATGTGATCTGTCCATCTTTACCTGAAGTGTTAGATAAAGCTGAGAGTACCTGGCAGAGTCCAAGCTGCTGTGTCCACAAGTCATCTCCATCTGTTAAGACAATGACAATAGCATGCAATGAATGACACAATCAAAAGCTGTCTCTGTAGGTTCACAGTCATTTAATCCAAATATAGTTACATCAAGGGCAACTGCACAAAGTAGGTGTTTTTTGAAGACGTTCCCCCTTTTATCCAAGAGACTTAATCAGTTCTGCTGAACTTAAGAAGTCTTGGATGAGAGGTGAAACGTCTTTAAAAAAAAAAAACCTACTTTGTCCACTTGCCCTCGCTGTAACTATTTTTGGAACAATAAAAAGCAGTGTTGGTCTCATTTACCTCTTGCCGTCAGGGTGGAAAGCCACGCAGTTGATGGGACCAAAATGACCTTTGACTCCTGCCAAACTCCTCTTTGTACGCAGCTTGGAAGAACCTGCAGATTAGAAGAACACGTCACTGTGCCACATGTTAACACAAACAGGGTTTCCTTAAAAGCAGCTACAAAGTAGTCACTTCTACAGCACCTCCAACATTACAACTACAGTGGAAAGTCTGTTGCACAATCAAATGTCATAACAACTAAATGTTTACACATTACTATCAACAACAACAATACAAATTCAATGCTTTAAACAGATATTTCTTCACTACATAAAGGCCTTTGTTTGTAACAAAGTGGTGGCTTCTTCAGTGCTAATGCTAACACCACAGTGGAATAAAGAACATCTGTACATTTTCTTCATCTCTTTTTTTTGTTCAGATGAAGACAACAGTCACTGGATGCTTTATTCAACCACACAATAATACTCTGGAAACACCACTTCAACTCACCTGGCCTCAAACTTGCCAATCCTGGTGGAAGCTGTGGTCACTTCCATGGCCTCCTGCTCACCTCCCATAAGCACCTACAACACACACAATTGCAAGGTTCAAGGTTACTGTTGATCTACTAGGATACGCATTGCACAGCAACAAATCTAACGTGATCCATGATTGGAGAAATGGCGGCAGAGTCAAAGAGCTGCGGAGATAACCCATGGCATTCAGTCAATTATGGCGTACGTACAGCAGTGATCATCAACTGGCAGTCTACTTCTTGGATTCCAAAACAAACATTAAATAATAATTTCATTTTTACTCCACTCTATCTGGGTGGCTGACTTAGAGCCTTTAACAGCATCCCACAGTCAGCTTTGAACTAAGCAAACTCTTACTCAAGCAGTCATCTCTCTTCAAGGCCTTAAAGAGACAGACTGCAGTATGTCAACATTGAAAAGTAACAAAACCTCAACAAACAGTTCATTTCAAACTGTACCACTCATTTCTCCTAAGATGTACTTCAAATACTCTAAAGTCTTTTTCAGTATAAGTACATAAGTCATTACAAGGTCTGCAGTATGGACAGGTTGACCAACAGACCTAGACTAAAGGAAATTGTCATTGTAAATAAAGTGGACACACTCAAAGTAACCACACCTACTACTGTGTGATTTTTGTTGTATCTTCTTGTAACCCCCAGCAAACTGTCAATGTTTACTTCAGTTCACACATACTTGTATAACAAACTATCAATAAATATCTTCAAATACATTTATCGTTCACTTATTTCTGTTGTTCTACTTTGGAGCGGGGGTCACCTCACAATTCCATACATATATAAACTATAAAAGAGTATAAGAGTTAAAAGAACAACAATAACTCTTTTCTCTGTTGAAGACTTCCGTTAGGCAACTGGACATGAAATTTTCACTCAACAGAGGAGGTGGGCTAAGACACAACCAAAACTGTTCTGATGACGATTACAACCTAAGGTAGCTTTATTTTTTGTCACACCCACAGTATATATTTGGTACCCCCCTCTAACTGGTGGAGGGGAGTACCAAATATATACTGTGGGTGTGACAAAAAACTGAAGAAGCCTCTTGGATGAGAGGTGAAATGTCTTTTTTGAGAAAATGTCACATCCAGTTGCCTAATGGAACTCTTCAACCTTGACCTGGATGACTGAGAATCTTCATAGATAACACTTTTCTTTATTCACCTTCAAAAACTAAAAACTCAGGTTTCATTTTTTAAGGTTAAAACCAAAACTCTTCTCTGGACCTTCTCCTTGATGGCCAGCCTGGTGTCATTCTGATGACTATTTATAACATTTTTCAACAACTGTAATCACATACAGTGATTACAGTTGTAGCAATCATTTACATGAGTTCTCACCTTGTTGGTGTTGTCCTGTGAGGCACAGATGAACATGGTGAGGCCTACAGATGTCTGGATGTCGTTGATGTGCCTGCTGTGCTCCTCAGCTTTCTTCAGGACTTCTCCTGACTATTTAAAAATAAACAAACAAAAAAAATTCATTATTTCCTTCAGCATTTCATTTCTATAATACTGTGTGTAAACTGTTTCTTTAGCAGTAATCAGGACTATTTAGCAGTAATCGTGTACTATCTGCAGTCTTGTTTCTTTCTTGTTTCTCGTTTATGCTGCGCGTGGCGTTTACCTACCAATCTGTTGTGGATCCCTCAAGTCGAAGAAGTTCATGAAACACTGATAGCCCATCTGCTTGTCCGTGGAAAACATGATGGTGTTGCCGCTGAAATCAAACCTGCGTGTTCTGATGGAAGACAAGGAGCAAAAATTAAACACCAAAATACATCTAAACACTCATACACTAATATGTCTGCTGGAACCACCCATATAGCTAACTGTTTATTTAATTACATTATTTCTCTACTCAGTTTATGCCATTTAGACTGTGCATATATTTCACATTATATATTTATTTTATATACTTGTTCATATAACATCCTTATAATTATACCAGTTCTGCTTATATATACATAGGTATAATGTGGTGTATTTTACTGTACACACACACCAATTTAATTTAGAATAACAATAGTATAACAAAATTATACATTAATTGAGATTGCAATCAACAACTAGAACAATTAAACTAATCTTCATTAATATGAAAAGTTCATTTATGTTCAAATATGAGAAGTTCATTTCATATTTTCAAAAAGGTGCATCAGCCAAGCTCAAACTCCTGTCAAAGGCTAATTCCTTATTTACCATGACAACTCTATATTCATTGTTTAGGACGAAAAGCTAACGTTAGCTGCCGAGACACACATGCTAGTGTAAATTGTCTCGACCGAACGACTACCATTTCAAACAAAATACAACTGACAACTGCTTTGTATAAGGACTGTACAACGTATTCCTATTTCCGTTATACATACATTTCAATATCAGCGTGACGTTTGTTTTTAGCATTTTTGTAGTAATAGTAAGACTATAGTCTTGCTTGTTTTTGGTGATATAATGTTTTTTGGAGTTTTTAGCACAAATTATTCACTTGGAAGCATTTTTCAGGCATTAACTTAAGAATATGAACTAATTTTAGGCTGAATTTATAAGAAAAACAACATTTCATGACTTATTTTCCTCAAGCTTTTGTCAGATTTAAATAAATAATAATAATAATTAAAATAAATAATAAACAAAGATCAAGATTTTTGATTTAAATGAAAATATGTATTTTTTCAAAAGAGAAACTTTTAATAATTAACAATTATTTGACATATTTGAAATGAATGTCCATTGAAATAGGGTCCATTACTTATTGATACAAAATAAAGACCACTAGAACTGAAACACTTTGCAAATTAGTGCATTTGTATGAATTATTTTACTTTGTATGACTTTCTTTAGAAGATCACTAGTAAAGAATATTGCTATTGATCAATGGTTGACGAACCAAAAAAAAGTGATTTCAAGTTTTATTCTACTATAAGAACATATTTTCACAACTTATTTTTGAAGGATTTTCAGGAACTATATATGTAGTATACTAAATATTTTGAACAAAGTTAAAGTTCTGAAAAAATATTTTTTCTAAATTTTAACCATATGAAAGGATGTACCTGCATATTTTAAAATGTAAATTAGTGCATTTTTATTCATTTCTTGTAAAGTTTTATTTTTGGAGACTTTTTCAAGAATTTATTAGTATAGTATTTTACTATGATCAAAAGTTGGTGCACCCAAAAAGTATATTTTTTCTGAATTATAACCACAAAAATGGACATAGCTAAGTATTTTGAGTCTCAGGATCTTATTAGTATAGTATTTTATTGTGATCAAAATTTGGCACACCAAAAAGTATACACTTTCTGAAATTTAACCTTGGAAAAGGAAATAACTAGGCATTTCAATGAAAATGTGTGTATTTTCATTTATTGTTTATTTTTGGGGGATGAGAACTGTACCTCACTGTGCTTGAGCACTGGTTTTATTCCCAAAAAGGTCTCATGGCCATTCCTGGGACAATCTGTTTCTGGTTGTGAAGGCCTGGATGGGATGCAGATGCCACTGGTCTCTGTGCACATGTTGATTGGCTCATCCACTGCTGGAACACAAGAGTCCCTCATGAAACATTTGTTTGCTGTGCTCTGGTTATGTCAATGCAAATATGTGCACATGAAATAAAACAAATTTTAAAAAACTGCTGTATAATTTTATATAGGAGTGCAGTATTTAAATTGTGTTTTCAAAATTAAAAAAATACGCATTTACCAAAGAGGCCATTACTAAGAACTGGCTCAATTTTTAAGCGGCTTGTTATAAACACTGGCTGACAATGATAGATAAAACACAAGAAATAGAAATTCATGTAACTGTATTATAAATGACAGAACTAAAAATGATTAAAATAAATAAACATTTACAAAACAATCCACTTTCTCATAAATCATTCTTTCCAAATGTTTTTAAATGTTGGAAATTATCCACGAGACATTTATATGTTTAACGTCCAATAAAAAACAACAGTATGGTTTGTCAAAAATTGGGCAAAAAGACATGTTATACTATATTGTTCATGAATAAAACATGAAATAACCTCATACAAAGAAGTACAAATAAAAACAATTTTATGTTGTAAAATTTGAATCTAAAACTGCCAAAAAATAAAAAAAATCCAAAAAATAAAAAAACCAAACACCAAATGTTTTGCAGAGAAAAAACAAAACAAAACACAAAAAACACCTTTAAAATGTAAGTTTATACCTTAGAAGGTGAAGGCGAATCAACTTTATTGGAATATGCCATACATATAGATAAAATTATATTACAGTTCTCTCTGACCCCAGGTGCAAACGGGCAGAAAATATAATGAGAATACCCAATTAAAATATATCTTTTCAATAAAGCAAAAAAAAGGGGGTGGGGGGGATTCTTTTATAATTCCTGAATCTCAGGGCTGGTACTGTGACCAATTTCTTAAATCAATTTGATTCCAATTCATAAGGTCCAATTCAATTACGGTCAATCTGCTCTAAATTACTGATGCTCTTAACTAATGGATCTACTGTGTTACAAAACAGTTGTCAGAAAGGGACACTACAAAAATAAAATACTTGTTTATGTGTTTGTGCTACACAATTCTGCACCAACAGCTTGCCCGTGCAAAATTGTTACACAACACAAATGTTTACATTAGTTGACAATAATTTCAACTCTTTCATACCGGTGCCCACAGTTTTGAGGGTGGAGCGGTCGTATTTTTGCACTCGATGGTCTCCGTACTTCAGCAAAAGGCGGATGACTGTTGGTGCTCCATAAAACTGGTTAATTTTCAGCCTTTGAAGCATCTCATAGTACCTTCCTGTGAACCAATAAAGGCATGTCTTTGTTACTGATAAACATAAATAACTCCCCATCTTGTAACATGACTTTCACCTTAACATTGCTACAAAATGTCAGCACTGATGCTTATAAACTGGAATGAAGGCACATTCTGGTGCACTTTCTATTTTAGTGACTCATCAAATCAGTATCTTAAATGTTCAAAAGGTCAGAAGTGTATCACCTGTCCTTTACCAAACAAACACTTAATACACAATCAGTTGTGTTGTAAAAAAAAACAAAAACATTAATGAAAGCGAAAGATGTACTGGTGCATAGAGCATACTGAGAAGGTATTGGGATCACGGCCGGGAATAGACGCTGTAGTTTAGCCTGAGCAATACAGTCACACTGGTCTTTCTACTAACTCTATTTGTATAAAAAAAGAGTATATGTGTCTTTATGAAAGGTCAATCAACCAGTTAATTTGTTTATAAAGATCCATCACTATATTTTACATAAAGTCAACAATTGGCGCTCCTCCACCTGTACCACAACTGCTACTACAACGACTTCTATTAATTCCAATGTTAGCTACACTTTTTACATATGGGGGCGAAAACCGCTAGGCCGCAGCACTAAACACAAGCTAGCATGTTAACTTACCGACTAAAAAGGTTTACCTAACGCACTAGTGTTACATAAACGGATCCATTATTGAGTAAGGTTTGTTTGTGATCACGTTATCTTCCCCCTTGTGACTTCCATGCACACTAAAGGACGACTAAATATTTGTTTGAGAGCAATATTTCCGGATTAATTTAAATGCCGTCCCTTGCTACGCATGCGGAAACTATCGAGAAGAAATGGCGAACACTTAAAGGTCTCGTAGTGTCGCTTATCCTTTAAATGCCGTCCCTTGCTACGCATGCAGAAACTATCGAGAAGAAATGGCTAACATTTAAAGGTCTCGTAGTGTCGCTTATCATTAATACAGAAATAATTTGTAGATGTCTGACGACATTACCAAATGTACAACTGAACAAATGAAGTTACGTGCAAATACAAAAAAAGCATCTTCAAAGTCTTTTCCGCACGAGCCATCCACTGTGCATTGAGTGTCCACAGAGATGAAAACGCTGGACCGCAGCCCTAAACGCACGGTAGCAGGTTAACTTTCCCCCCCTAAAAAAGTTTATCGAGAACAAAAACTAACGCACTAGTGTCCATAAAACGGCTGAACATCACATAAAACTGCTTCATTATATAGTTCAAACGTTTGTTTAAGTTAATTTACCTTTCCCCTCGTGACATCCACACAGGCTCGACGACGACCAAATGTTTGTTTGAAAAACGTGAGCGCACACTTCCGGTATAATTTTAAACCTCTTGCTACACATGCGCAGACCAGCGAGATGAAATGACGTAAATGTAATCATTAACCTGAAATAATTTGTAGATCTGTGTGTACAAATAAATAAAACATAAAATAAAAACAGAAATAAATAGAGAACATATAAGACGTTTCTTAATAACATTTTATATCACTTCAATCACATCCATCCACTAAGTAGTAGGTTTCAGGTGCAAATTCTATATATTGAATTAAACTAGTATATGGATTCATGATAAATTAGAAATCACAATAAATGAGAATTCCAGCTCTAATTTGCTGGAATTTTTAATTTCTTTATATTTTTTTACCTGATCACACTTGACTGCTTTTATTACTTTTTTGCTGCTAATACCTGATCACACTTGACTGCACCGTACTGAACATTAGTGTTTAGTTTTGCACTTTAATGTATTGTCCTGTCTTGTCTACGCATGGGTCAGTTAGAAATGCAATTTCGATTCATTCGTATGTCTGGTACATGTAAAGAAATTGACAATAAAGATGACTTTGACCCCCGTTTCCTCCTTCCTACCCCTCATAGCAGGCGATTATGCACCTCTTTGGCTGGTAGATTCGAACCTGAAGCCCTCCGGACCCAAGTCCGCTTCCTTAACTACTAATGCAACACTTAGTGGTTAAGACACAGAAGACACTATACAACAGGTCACATGACTTCAGCCAGCCACAAAGACAGTTAAACCGCCAGCCATAATAACCATAATAATCCGAATTACACAAACTTTCTAATATCTTTTTAACTTTGCTACGGCGGTGCTTTGGCCCAGAAGCAATGTCTCTGTCATTGGTGTGCAACCCCAGGGTTCACCTCCTGAGCAAGTTCGAATCCCGGTTAGGGCGGTTGGTACCTTCCAGTGGACTCACCACCGACAGGAAGGTTCAGGGGGGGTTGGTACGGTGCAGTGACCTGGTAATGGATAAGTGGATAAAAATGAATGGATGGGTGGGTGGACTTTT